AGATTTTGTCACAATAAATATCACATTTTGTTGCTACCAAAATTAAAGGTGAGAAACTGTAAGACTTGAGTAGTAGCTCTCTCTTTGCAGTTTTACAAGAATAATTTTATTTTTTTCTATCCATTTCATTTTCCTTCTTTAATTCTCTTCCTTATCTGTAATTTATTTTATTAATAATTAGTGATTTTGCTGGATTGACATCATATAATGTTTTCTTTTGAAATATGCATTGACTTTGAAAAAGAAAGGGAAGTAATAGTATAGTTTGCCTTATAAGAACTCTTAATTAATTTTACTGAAACAGATGAGGGACAGAACAGATTAGAGGTGATATATGATTGAGTATTATGGTTAGCACAGGAAATCAGAATTAAGGTTGCATAGAGAAGTGTACTCGGGGTGGGGGGTGGGGGGAAAAGGATGGGGGAATTGTATACTAATGAAGGAATTTATTTTTTTTCTTTTTCTTTTCAGAGAGGGGAGCAAACTGTTGTGGAGAGGTGGGCAGGGAGAAAAGTGTGGCAATGAATGAATGGAAATCCAAAACCTCTGTAAATGTCTATTAAAATTAATAAAAAAAGAAAAAAATGCAAAAAAACCCATAGCTTCAGAAAAAAAATTCACAAAAACAAAAAAGGACACTTAATTAATTTATACATCATAACTGAAATATAACAAATGTTTTATTACCTTTTTGAAAAAATGGTCAGATTCTTTTTCCAAAAAGCTTAAGTCAATGAGAACATTTATAATCAATACATGGAATAATGTAACCCATCATTGTTTAGAGATTTATCTTTATTTTCAAGAATAATCCAAATATTGTTTTAAACTTCTAACTATAAGACAAGGGAGACCTGGTGGTGTAGTTTGTAGAGAGCTACACTGCTCTCTAAAGGCCACACTTCTCTGGCAGTTCAGATCCACCAAATGTTCTGTAAGAGAAAGGTAGACAATCTCCTCCCGTGTGATTTGTAGCCTCTGAAAACACACTGGAAGGTCAGCTATGAGTTGGTTCTGCTTTGACACAATGACTTTGACCTTAGAATGCTAAGAATATTTTAAAGAAGAACATTTTGAAATGAATTGCTTACAGCCTAGGAGGTTGCTGTGGAGAATCCCTATACAGCATCATCCCTCCAGTCTCACTATGCATCAGTCTGTAGAAAACAGGGTTGCCAGATGTGACTCCTTGCTCAGGTACATGGACCTATTTCTTCCCAAAATATCCAGTTTAAAGATTGTAATAAGAAAAGATATCTTAGAGTTTCTGAAAATTTCCTGTGAAAAACTGTATCCTAAGAAGTAAGTTTTTCTATAAAATTTGCATTAAAATATACAGGAAGGGTTAAGGAGGTTAGATGTCAAAATCCTTTTATTGTTCTAAGTAAGGTACAGAGCTAAAGGCAGGGAGGAATCATGAGTAATAAACCTGTCACCTGAAGGATGTAAGAGAGCAATTATTGATTATCATTCCTGACCTTCAATCTCTTCCTCATAACAAACAATAAAAATAGATGCAAGCTACTTCTGTGGAAGGTCATTCGGCAAGATGTGTTGACTCAAAAGAAGGTACAACTTGTATGTAACACTTCAGTCACAGCTGGCCCATTGTAATAAATGAGACATCCCACTTTCAGCTAAAGTGCAAAATCTAGGAGAATAGTTAGGCTTTGGTTAACATTGTGCTGCAAAAGGACTATATAAGGTAGTTAATTCCCTTTGCTTAGCCTCTGATCCTGGTTGTCCTCAAATTTATCTCACTGCAAATATAAATACATCCATCTATACATACCTGAATCAGTAATGTTAAATGCTGTTAACTATGACTCATAGTGACCCTATGAATGACAGATGGAAACCTTACCTTATCCTGAAGTTGTTAATCATTTCTCTTTACCTGGATTCACAAACAATACTTATGGTAACACAGTCAAGAAATCAAAGGATGTGCTGTATTGAACAAATATGCTATCAAAGACCTCTTTAAAGTGCTAAAGAACAAGGATGTTAATTTAAAAACTAATGAGCACTTGATCCTAGTATTTGCTTCATATGGATGTGAAAGTTGGACAAAGAGATAGGGAGACCAAAGAAGAATCGATACATTTCAGTTGTAGTGTTGGAAATGAGTATTGGATATTTCATGGGCTGCCGAAAGAATAAATCTGTCCTGAAGAAAGTGCAGTCATAGTACTCTTTAGGGGTAAGGATAGTCTCATATGCTTTGAGCATGTTGTTAGGAGGTTCCATTCCTTAGAAAAAGGCATCAATCATGCTGGGGAAGTAGCAGCTTAGGAAAAGAAAGGAAGACCCTCAAAGAGATGGACTGACACAGTAACTCCAACAATAGGAACACATTTAAGCATCCCCTAATACACACATACACATGCACACACCAAACCCATTACCTTTGAGTCAGTTCCAATCTATTTGTGACCCTCCAAGGCTATAAATTTTTATGGAGGGGCTGCCCAGCTACATGGTCCATTAGAACATCAACATTTTAGTCATTAGAATAATCACTAGGGTGCCAGTGTGCATACACACTTATGTAAATATAAGTTTAGCCCCCAAAGGGACATTACCTCTTTTTTTCAGGACCAAAACAATAGAGCATAGTAGTATGCATGTAAGTATATTTGATTTAGGATTCGGATTAATTCTGAATCCTAATGCTGGAACCACGGATTATGTGGTATGGTATTTAAAGGCAGGCTGTTGTGAGAATAAAATATCTGAGCACAGCATTAGTCAATACTTCAGAAATGAAACCTGGTAGCCTAGTGGTTGAGCAATTACACTACAAACCGAAAGTCAAATGGTTCTAATCCACCAGCTTTTCTGAGAAATAAAAATGATCAACCCTCTCCCTTGATATTTACAGTTTAGGAAAAACTACTAGAAGATCAGCTATGAGTAGGTTTTGACTTGATGACAATGAGGTACTATTATTTTTTGTATAAAGTTTTTTTTTCCTTTGGAAATGACAGTGGCTTATATTACTATTATTAGTAGTAGTAGTGTTATCATTGCACTACTCAGTATGGACTGAGGCTCAATGCCAAGAAGACAAAGATTCTAACCACTGGACCAATTGGCAGCATTCAGAATGGATGGTGAATAGATTGAGACTGTTCACAGCTTTAGTTTGCTTGACTCCACAGTCAACACTCTTGGCAACAGCAACCAGGAAATTAAAAGACGTATTGTGATGGGAAAGTCTGCTGTTAGGGACCTCTCCAAAGTACTGAAGAGCAATGGTGTCTCTCTGGAGACTAAGGTGCGTCTGATAAGGCTATGATCTTTGCAATCACCTTGTTGTGCGTCAGAGAGTTGGACAATGACTAAGGAGGATAGAAGGAGAATTGACAACTTTGAGCTTTGGTGTTGGAGAAGAGTATTGAGGATACCATGGACTGCTAAGAGAACAAACAGGTTCATCCTGGAGAGGGTTAAACCTGGCGGATCCTTGGAGGCAAGATTTCTGTGGCTTTGTCTGACATACTTTAGACATGTTGTAAGCAGGGACCAATCCTTGGAGAGGGACATCATGCTTGAGAGGGTGGAGGGACACTGCAGGAGGGGAAGACCCTCTTTGAGGTGGATTGATTCAGTGACTGGGGTAATCGGGATGGGTGTGTTGGAGACAGTGCGATTAGCACAGGACAGAGTTTAGGGCCGTTGTACAAGTGACTCGATGGCACATAACAACAACAGTGCTATCATATCATTGGAAATTCTTTCTGAAAATTCTATTTCATAAACTGATGAAAACAGTGTGGAGAAAAGTTAGAAAGAAAAGATCTACTTACCAGCGAAAGTGTATTTAAAGAAACTGGAACTGTTTAGGCAGATTAGACCATTTAGAAATGCAATACTCACATTTACAAATTAAGTAAAGGATCATGTATGTGGTAATGTGATTGGCTTTGTTCAGCAAAGTCCTGGGAGAAAGAACTAAGAACAGAATCAGAGGAAGTCAGAGGAGACACAATTTGGCTTCATATAAGAAAACATTTGGAGCAGATTAGAGCAATTGGAAGAAGTCGCCGGCTGCATCCTGAGGAATTAGTGTTGTAATTCAGATTATTCAGATGGAGCAAGGGGGAAAAAAACCCCAAAAACACTTTTTGATGCCATGGGAAGAGTTCCAGGGATTATTTGTCTTATACTTCCTACAGGGGAGCTCTGATGACCTAGTAATAAGAAATTGAGCTGCCAGCCCAAAGGCACATGGTTTGAATCTGCCCACTGCTCCACTGGAGAAAGGCAATAGCCTGTGCAATTAGCTGCCTCTAAAAACCCACTGGAGGGTCAGCTATGAGTCGAACTCATCGCAGTGATATGCAACAACATAGTGCTAACCTAAAGGTCAGTCAGTGTTTTGAATCCACCAACTGCACTAGGGAAGAAAGATAGGCAGTCTCCTCCCCTAAAGAGGGTCTTTAGACAATGCTTTGGATTAGAGAGAGCAGCAAGAAAAAGCGTAAGATAGAAGCAATCTATTATCTGCCTTTGAGTGAGAATCGACCCCAAAAAAGTTCACCCTCCAGTGAATTTTCAGAGACAGTAAAGTTTATCCCACGGAGCAGCAGATGGATTTGAACCACGTGACTTTGGGTTGGCTACGCAGCTTCTTGTCACTAAACCACCAGAACTTCCTACATTAGAGGAAAGTGAGGATGGGGGTAGGAAGTGGAAAGTTATCTCATCAACAAATTCGAGGCCAGCCTAGTCCTATATTCTTGCACAGCTCTGCAGCCAGAAAATCTTCACAAAAAACCAGGGGAACTGGGAGTCTGGCGGAACCAGCAAAGACCACAGAAACACTGTTGCTATGACAGCAGAAGCGGTTGACTGGATGAGTCAGCTGGGTTTGGGGGAGGGGAAATCCACCTCTTCCAGGAACAGCAAGTGGTTTCAGTTACTATGACAGCAGGGACGCTTAGGCTAGGCTAGAGTACAGTTGAGAGGCCAGTACTCCTCCAGTCCTTTGCATGGCACCCAAGAAAGATAAAGGAGGGACGGTGACCACCGACAACTCTAAGACCTGGGAGCCGGCACTCATTGCTGAACACTTAAATCAGGTGAGCCTCAGTCCTTTAAGTCCTTTTTGCCACAGCAGTGCCAGGAGCCAGGCAAGACAGACAGACACACACACACACACACACACACACACACACACACACACACACTCACACACAGAACCTGTGTTGACACCCAGGCTGCCTTCAGAAAACTCCGTGTCCTGGCACTTGGTACCACTCATCCAAGACTGATCATCAGCTCAGAAAACCCACGATACCCAAGGACTTGAAAAACGGTCAAGAGAAGAGTGTACTGGGCAATCAGTGTGATTTTCAGAGTCATGTGAGGTATGATGGAGGAGGAGAGGCAGTGACGCTGACACCGGAAGATCCTCTTCAGAGAAATACAGATTTCACTTCACAATTGTACTGAAAGTTGTTTAATGAAATATTCCTTCCTCTTGTTACTGAAGGACGGGACTTTTGTTGATTCATCTATTAATGCCGAGTGAAAATCTGTTCAGAATGCCTAGGATAACAATGTATTAAATGAGTCCTTGGCATATTGGAAGGAATAACTTTTGCCACTGAAACAAAGTTCCTGTATATTGAAGGAAGGTGTAGGAGACCAGAACAACCAGGAGTTGACTGCCCCACTCATTCATAAATTACCGTGAAGGCACCAGGCAATCTCCCACCTACTTGCTATGACTTTAGATTGCTAAAACCAAGTAAGCCCCACCGCTTATGTCCACCTTACAAGTAGGCCCCACCCCTTATGTCCACCTTAAGAGTAGGCCCCACCCCTTACATCCTGGGTAACTTGCAGGTCTTGTCACATACAGGTGGAGATCCACTTGACACTCAGCTATTTCTTCGGCCAACATAATGGTTTAGAAAGAGGAAGATTGCTTCCAGTAATTACTGTCTGTCATAATAGACCTCAGGCACTGGAAAAAGTATTTCATTTTGTTATACTTGAGAATTTATATTTTAAAGCAAATGAATCCAAAGTTTTGGGCTCCCTTCATGAGAAACTTGACTGATCTGTCCTTTGTTTCTATTGTAATTGATCTTTTCTCTAGGAACAGGAATTCTGCTTGATAATGAAATTAGTCCTGATGAAGAATGTAATGAAAATAGTTAGCATCAACAGATACTGACATGATATCATAGAATTGTTAACTATTTCTATAATTTTAGGAGTGAAAGATGCCAGTTTAGTAAACTCTTGTTTTATTCTCAAAGATATTTTTTCAAAGCACTTTGTAAAAGCACTCTCTCTTTTGTTTTTATAACTCAGCATTAGCCAAAATATATTTTTCCCCCTCACCATTTTCTTTGAGATTGTGTAGGCGAAGTTTGGGCTTGGAGTGAATGTTTCTGCTTGAATTATAAACTGCTGAACAACGGAGTTTGATGGAGGTGCTGACACTGCATTAGCTTTAGTGCTGCAAATATGAAGCTATAATTTTCCTAGCTGAATGGAAAACCTAAAGACACTATTTTTCCTATGGCTTGCAAACCTGAAATAATATTAAACTTTCTCAGTCCTACTCAAACAATATAATTTCAATAACTCTTACGTATTAATAGAAGGCATTTGAACTCAAAGTAATATGGAGGTTGGGCTATAAAGAGTGACCTCAATTTTCTTTGGTTTGTTGGAATACATGTTTTCTTACTGAGAGGTGGGACAACTGCCTCTATCTCCTCCCGTATTTTTTGCTCAGCTTGGTTTCCTGTCTGATTCAAGGAGAAAATTACCAGATTAACCTTTCAGCCCAGTGCTCAGAGGTAGGCCCTGACTGCCAATATAATAGACTGAACTTGAGCTAAAAATAAATATAGATGTGTGTTTTGTTCATAGTTGTTCTGAGGGAGGGGGAATCAATTATTTTCATGCCCAGAAAGTTTACTTCTACAGTTGTCATTCAGGTATAGAATTGTACTTTAGTGCATGTAGTTGGTTTGAATGTGTGTTGTACAGGTGGGAGAAAGGAAGTCATTCATCCTAGCTTTCTATTAGCCCGTTATTAGAACTGACTGAAGAATCTAATAGTTCACATTGAATTACACTAGATTTTAAGGAGAATAATAAGTTCACAATTTTAGTGAATTTGACTCATAACATTATATCACAATTTTGAACTATCTGTTCAAGCCGAAATAATTGTCACTTATTGTACTGTATTGACTGCTTCTGTTATTGTCCTTGAGTCAGCTCTGACTCGTAGCTGACCGCCCAGCAGGTTTTCAGAGGCTTAAAAACCCCATGGGAGGAGATAGCTTGCCTTTTTTTGCCTCGGAATACCTAGTGGATTCTGTCTTCGGATTGGCGGCACAACTCCCTACCATTTAGGCCAACAGAATTCCCTTAGTGTATTTTCGGTGGTTGTAAGATTATAACAAGTGGTATAAAATAATCTATTACTAAACAATAAATTATTAGATAGAGACTAAAGTAAAGAAGATGGACATGGGCCAGGGTAGTAAAAAAAAATGTGTTTGAAAGACTTCTCTTTAGCTTTGCTCTAATTAATGAGAAAATTTGAACAGCTAGAAGGAACATGACTATAGGCAAAGAAAATCAATATTTACTTTTAATAGGTCCAGGGCACTTAAACTGAAAGCCTGCAGGGTAAGTTAGACCAGTTTGGGGTGTATGTTGCCTCTCAATTAATTCTGTCAATAAAATTACCATTTTTTTTTACATTGCTATTTCTGTATGAAAATATTTAGCTCCTTCATATGTGAAATTCCATGCTTTGAATTAAATAGATGTTTAGTTAT